CTCTCTCTCTCTCTCTCTCTCTCTCTCTCACACACACACACACACACACACACACACACACACACACACAAACACACACACACACACACAAACACACACACACACACGCAAACTCGAACACAATAAAACGAAACACAATAAAACGAAAAAAAAAAGAAAGCACGATTTCGCCCCACGTATCCTAACCACGTGGCACGATTTCGCGCCTTCAACCCCCAATCCCCTTCCAGCGACTTCCCCTTAGCTCTTCCCGTTTCCCGTCCCCCTTCGCCGTCCTTGCCATTCTTCCTCCATTCTTTCTCCCCCCCTAATCCTTCTCCTTCTCCTCGTCCTTCAGTATTCATTCTTTCTTTCTTGTGTTCGTCCACGGATTATCGTCGTTCTGCCCCATTTTCTCCCGCTTTACATGTTCAACCTACGGTTTTCTATCTGCGATGCCTCCTTGCCTTCCCCCTCCCCCCCCCTCCTACCGGGCTTGCTTAGCATGTAATAGCAGCGTAGACCGCTTGATCCTCGTCGTCGTCATTGTGTTCCTCTTCCTCTACCTCGTCGTCCTCCTCGTGTTCCTCTTCCTCTTCCTCCTCGTCCTCCCCTTCATGTCGCTTCTCCCTTTCGCGATCAGAGTCAGTCAGGAAAGAAAAACGAAACAACCACAGCCTGTTTCTGCCCCCTTTCCCGATTCCTGACGCCATCATCATCTTACCTTGTCCTCGCAAATCGTGCTCCTTATCTTTCATCTTCATCGTCGTCTTCCTGTTCCGGGTTTGATTACAAAAAAAAAAAGTTCCGGGTTTGATTACAAAAAAAAAAAAAAAAAAACACAGAGTGGTGGGGTGCCTCTCTCTCTCTCGCTCTATTTTTATTTCGCGCGCGCACGCGCACACACACACTTCGTGTGTTTGTGTCAAACCCCCCGAAAAAGCATGACTGTGCCAGACTGATTCGTTGGCCTTTCACCAACTCGTCAGGAGATTGAAACCCCATGATGCATGTGCGTGTGCGTGCGCGCGTGCGTGTGTGTGGATGTGCGTGTGTTTGTGCATGTGCTTGCGTGAGGGGGCGGACCGGCATCCGTGAGTCTCGGCCCATGCCATCTGCATAGTATAGGTGTGACATTGTGGGACCGCTAGGAACCGTCGACCGTGTTTGATGTGGACGGTGGGATGATACATCCCGCCTTTCAGAGCGGGGAGCCCTAAGGCTTCCGTTTTCTCATTGGTGTGTAATTGCTTTAGTGGAGAGAGACGCAAGGCCGTGTAGTAGATGTTTTTCTTGGATGTGGAATTCCATACTTGTTTCCCCTAGTCAGTGGGTCTCGGCCCACATGCGCCGTGTAGTTCAGTTTTCTACAACTGTGTGACGCCAAAAGGCGGGAAAAGAACGTTGAATAATCTTTTTATTTGATTTCATATATCTAGTCCCATTCGGAATCGAACTCAGGTCCTCCTTTCAACAGTACATGGGTGTGCCACATCCATTTCCTCCAATTGGCAAGAGTAGATCCTTGGGGCCCTAGACATGTCTCTGACAAACCAAACCTGGCTTTACCTTCCCCCTGCATTCACTGAAGAGGAAAATCCCCGTGTAGGGGCCTCACTGCACTACTCTCGACATGCACAAAAGACAAAAATCATAACGGTGTATCTTTCCATACTAGCTAAGCACCCCCGGTGCGGGCGTTGCGGGTAATGCCCACAAATAAAAGAAAACAAAAACAAAAAAAGGGAGTTAGGCGCAAACCAACTGCTAAATTTCAGCACTATTAACGAACTCAAGAAACGGAACGCGCATACAGAGACAGAGAAAGGGAGAGAGAAAGAGAGAGGGAGAGAGGAGGGAGAGAGATAGAGATACACAGATAGAGAGAGACAGAGGAGAAAGAAAAGAAGAACGCGAAGAACAAAGAAGAATACCGTTCAAGTCAGGAACAGCGTGCAAAATTATGAAGGCACAATAACCACGAAGTACAATCCATCTCCATTTTATTAAAAGAAAATAAAATAATATTTATTTGCTCCCTCTCTCTCTCTTTGTCTCTCTCTCTTTCCCTCTCTCTTT